TGGCTCCATCTCAGCAGCAGTTCCTGTGTCCGCACACAATCCACAACCCTCAGGGGCTTGGCAAAGGACCCGCAGGGCTCAGCATCCCCCTACATCCCCTTCAGCACCCCACTTATTCTCAGCCCCAACATCCCACCCAGACCCTGCCACCAGCCCAGTGGGTGACATCCCTGCACTTGGGGCTGGAGCTGTCTGCACAAGCCTTTTCCCACTCCGAGCCTGCTCTCTGCATCAAGGCAGAGCCAAATTGGAGAAGCACACACAATGACCTCTTGTGGAATGTAGTATGAATATTTGATAGGGCTAATGTAATCATATCCAATCGATACAGGCAGGAATATCTCCCCTGCCCTGCGCTCTCCCTCTGCCCTGTCCCTTCCTCTCTCCCCCTCTCTCCCTCGTTCTTTCATTAATGCATTCTCCACTTTACATTATTTATTAACTTCCTTTTTTTTTATTTAGAAAAAACAAATTAAATAACAGTGGTTACGTGGAGCTCAGCCCCTCCTGCCCCAGCGCTTTGGGCCAGGCTAAAACTTCCCTGACCTCCTCTCACCTCCTTGTCTTCTTCAGCTGAGGCAGAGACTCTGCCCCACAGCTGCATCCCCCTGACACCCCTCACCGCCCCCAGCACATCTCACCTCCCCATTAGTGCTTGCTCTGCACGGCCACCCAGTGCATGGCACAGGAGACATGCCCAAAATGAAGCCCCCAAGGTGCAAGCGATGCCTCAGAGGTGGAGAGACTCCACGTCTGGTCCCAGCTCCAGCACAGCCAGAGGGTTTCCCCAGCCAGAGCCAGCAGGGTGGGGGGGTGATGCTCAGACTGGTGGTGAGCAGATGCTCTGCTGCAGGTCTCACAAACCCTCATCCATTCCTTGCTGTGGTCCCCTAAAAAAGCCGACAAGAAACCTGGAGAGGGGCTTTGGACAGAGGCCTGTAGGGACAGGCCAAGGGGAATGGCTTTAACCTGCCAGAGGGGAGACTGAGATGAGCTCTTAGGCAGAAGCTCTTCCCTGTGAGGGTGCTGAGGTGCTGGCACAGGGTGCCCAGAGAAGCTGTGGCTGCCCCATCCCTGGCAGTGCTCAAGGCCAGGTTGGACACAGGGGCTTGGAGCAAGCTGCTCTAGTGGGAGGTGTCCCTGCCTGTGGCAGGGGTTGGAACTGGATGAGCTTTAAGGTCCCTTCAACCCAAACCAGGCTGGGTTTCTGTGATTCCCAGAGTGGCCAGGTATGTCCCAGCAGTCCAGGGATGCTCCCCACAGATGCTGCTGGTCCATGCTGCCCTGCCAGGGTGGGCTGAGCTCAGGGGCTTACCTGGATGGGGACAACCCCAGTGTCTGCCTTTGTGCCAAGCATCCTGACCCCAACACCCCTCCAGGGTCACTCACTGGGACAAAGAGCGCCCAGGCTGCTGAGCAACATTCCTCTGCTCCAAGCAGGACCCAAGGGGCCACAGAAAGGCTGGGGCAGGGCCATGGCCATGCTGTGCTGCAGGCAGTGGGAAAGTCGGGTTGGAAGGGGAAAGGGGCTGTGCAGCAGCCAAAGCAGTGACCCTGCAGTGAAGGGTAATCCTGGGGCAGGGGGAAGCTGAGGGGAGACCCCAGGAATGCCCAAGGGGGATGGAGCTGGGGGCAGGCAGAGCTCCAGAATTCCTGCTCCATGAAGGAGCCATGGGGCACAGCTGGGGATAGGAGACATGGGTCGCAGTGAGACTCCAACCCTCAGCTCAGACTCATGGAGTCACTGAGGTCCTGGGTTGAACGGGCCAGTCTCTGTGTGGCTCCCACCTGAATCATCCACCCCCTCCCGCTCATCCCAGGGAGCCACTCTTCCCCTTCCCAGATTGCTGCCCTGGGCAGGAGGAGCATTCACCCAGCACAGGGGAGAGGCGTTGGCTGTGTCCAGGCTTGCCTGCCCCTGTCCCCATGGAGGGCAGGGGAAGGTGCAGCTGCTGCTCCATCCCTGCCCCAGCACAGGGTGTCTGTCCTTCCAGGGACACCCCACTCTCATTTTCCCGGGGGGGGGGGAGGGGGGCGGTGATATGAGTCTGGAGATTTTCTCATTCCCAAGAGTGGAGGGTGGGAGAGCAGGCTGGGACAGCCCCCGCTGCCCTACAGCAAATGAAGAAGCCAAGGGAAGGGCTTGTCTTGCCCACACTGGCCACCTCCTCCCTTCTTGGAGGATATCCTCAAGGACACATGGACACCAGCTGACTCAGTTTACCACTTCTGATGAGTGCAATGGTTTAACTTCAGTCTGCAGTGAATTGAGAAGGATCCTTTCTGCTTCCATGCTGTGGGACATGTGGAAGACCCCCCCAGGAATGGCCAGAGGACGAGGTGATCCAAGACCATGATCCAAAGCATGTTCATGGGGTGGCATCACGGAGCAGACTGGAGGGAGGGCGATGATCCAGCACCTCAATATTGGACGTATTGGGCTGCTGCATGCAGGGTGCTGGGATGGACCTGGCATCAAGCAGAGCCCGGGGACCCCCCAATCACCCCTCCAGCACCCAACTCCACAGGGGGAGGCTGCCTGGATCATGGGAAAGCTGTGCCAAACACCCAGGGCTGGGAGAAGGGAGCCAGAGCTGGAGCCAACCAAGTGGGACTGTGAAAAGGCAGGAGACGTGCTGAGGGATGGGAAGAGAGATCCTCCTCCTCGGCCACTTGTGCTCTTCTCACTGGACCCAGGTGCCCACAGGGGTGTTCCGCATCATTTGAGCGATTCACTGTCACTTCCCACGACACAGATGCTGGAAGAGATGAGGGAATTTGCTGCAAACCAAAGGCCACTGGGAACAAGGGGCTGGCACAGGGTGCCCAGAGAAGCTGTGGCTGCCCCATCCCTGTCAGTGTCCAAGGCCAGGTTGGACACAGGGGCTTGGAGCAAGCTGCTCTAGTGGAAGGTGTCCCTGCCCGTGGCAGGCATTGGGACTGGAGGAGCTTTAAGGGCCCTCCAACCCAACCCAACCCAGGCTGTGGCTCAATGCAGGTGTCCCACGAGCTGGAACAGGGGCAGATGCTGCCACTCCAAGGGCAGCGTTGGAGCAGAGCAGTCGTGGCTCCAGGCTGGGCTCATGATGACGCAAGGGTGAGGGAAGCGGGCCCTGGCCTTTCCCAGGCTCTGCTGTGCTCTTGCTCCCACTCCCTGCCACTGGATCTGCCACTGGAGTGTGACCAAGGGAGCAGAGGCCAGGACACAGCAAACAAACATCTGAGTCCGGGCTTGCTTCTTTCCTTGAGTAACCAGAGAAAAAAGAGGGGGAATTTAAAAAAAAAAAAATAAAAAGTGACAAGCATTTGCTTCCATGGGGAGGTGACGAATCCTTGGGAGTGGGAGCGTGGCCTCAGGGAAGAGGAACACGGGAGCAGGGAAGCCAACAATACAGCCAGTAGCACCATGGGCACCCAGCATAGGTCCCCAGCTTCAACAGCCCTTAGATCAAGCTCTGCACAGCCACAGTGAGGATCAGAGCCACTCCAGGATTTAGATCCTTTGGATTTTCCTCGGATCTTCACAGAATCCCAGCCTGGTTTGGGTTGGAAAGGACCTTAAAGCTCATCCAGATTCAACCCTCTGCCATGGGCAGGGACACCTCCCACTAGAGCAGCTTGCTCCAAGCCCGTGTCCAACCTGGCCTTGAACACTGCCAGGGATGGGGCAATCACAGCTTCTCTGGGCACCCTGTGCCAGCGCCTCAGCACCCTCACAGGGAAGAGCTTCTGCCTCAGAGCTCATCTCAGTCTCCTCCAGCAGCACATCTCACCGTGCTGTCACCCAGGCCGGGTTGTGTGGAGCTGTGTTCTGGGTTGGTTGGTACTGGATGGTGACATTCCCGTTGGGCCAAACCGGAGCAGCTCCTTCCCCCCCCCCCCCCCCCAATTTAACACGCGTTTTACCCCCAAAACCACACCCAGACACACACACACACCTGCTGCTCCCGCGGTGATCCCGCGGTTCCTGGCACCTGCGGATTCCCTGTGGGAACATCTCCCAGTCTCTGCCCACGCAGGAGCCGCATGGGGAGAGAACCCCGCGTGTACGGAGCGAGCGCCGCTCGGCCCCGCCACCGGCCCCGGCATCCTCCCGGGCAGCCGCTGCCGGGCACAGGCTGCTGCCGCTCCTCCAGCCGGGTGCAGACGGGACCCTGTCCCCAGCACCCCTCGGGCACGGGAGGAGCACTGAGCGGCCGCTGCTTGTTTAACCCCCCCCGATCCCGGCTCTTCCCCAGCGCACGGGCTCCTCCGTGCTGAGCCAGGCTGCGGGTGCGAGCAGAACGCGCCGGGCGCTGGGAGGCAAATGAGGGCTGTCTGCCACAGCCCCGAAAGCGGAGCACAGGCCATAAACCCTACTGAGCCCCACAGACCCCATCCCTGGCAGTGCTCAGGGCCAGGCTGGACACAGGGGCTTGGAGCAAGCTGCTCTAGTGGAAGGGGTCCCTGCCCGTGAGAGCGGTTGAGCTGGAGGAGCTGTAAAATCCCTTCAACCAGAACCAGTCGGGATTCTAGGACCATGCTCCACACCCCAAGGGGTGGCACCGCCGCTCTCGGGCCCACAACACCGCTCCCGGTGGGGCTCCGAGGGATCCGCGCCCGAAGGCAACGGGCCCCGAGGGTCCTGGAGCGGAAGCGGAGCTGCCGTGGGGTCGGGCCGGGGCAGGGAGCGCTGCGCCTCAGCCCTGCGGCACGAAGGGGTCCGGTGCCTCCGGATGAACCCAGCGGTTACGGCCCAAAAGCGCGCTCTGCCCCGCAGCGCCTGGAGCCCGGCCCGCGCATCCCTGCGCGCACACACCGGCCAACGCGGAGGAGCGGAGCGGAGAGGAGCGGAGCGGAGCGGAGGAGCGGAGGGCCGGGCCGGGGCCGGGAGGGGCGGGGCGGGGCGGGCGGCTCCGCCCGAGCCGGGGAGCGGAAGCCCGGCCCGTGCAGTGCCGTGCCGTGCCCGCCGCAGTGCGCGTGCGCCGCCCGCAGGTGAGCTCGGAGCTGTGCTCCTCGCTATGGAAACAGCCCCCGGGCAGTGGCGACGCGAGCCCGCGGGACAGAGCGGCCCGAGCGGAGACACCGCGGGGAGGCGGCGCTGCCGGCACAGCGCCCGGCTCGGAGGTACGTGCGGCTCCAGGGCCGGCTTTCTGGGGGAGACGTGACACGCTCTGGCCGCAGGCCCGCATCTCTATGGTATGTCGGCCACTCTAGCCACCTCTCCATGGTATGTCTGCCACTCTAGCCACCTCTCTATGGTAGACGCGCGACGCTCTGGCCACAGGCCTGTGTGCCACTCCAGCCATCTCTCTGGTAGACGTGCGGCGCTCTGGCCACAGGCCTGTGTGCCACTCCAGCCATCTCTCTGGTAGACGTGCGGCGCTCTGGCCGCAGGGCTGTGTGCATGGTATGCCCGCCACTCCAGCTTCCTCTCTGTGGTGCACATGCGACGCTCTGGCCACAGGCTTGCACCTATCTAGTAGGAGGGATGCTCTAGCCTTCGCTCTATGGTACATGTGCGGCGCTCTGGCTGTAGGCCTAAATCTCTATGGTACAAGGGGCACTGCAGCCGCTGTTCTGATGTACACGTGCGACGCTCTAGCCACAGGCCCGCATCCCTATGGTACACGGGGTGCTCCAGGGGCCGCTGTACCTCCCATGTGCGGTGCTGTGGCCACAGGCCGGAGTCTCTGTGCCACACGGTGCCCTCTGCACCTCCCTGTGGTTTCCAGGCGCTCTAGCCTCTTTGTGGTCGGCAGTCGCTCTGCTTTCCCCTCTATGTTATGCAGCCGCCCGGGCCCCGCCGCGGCCTCACTCCGCCTCTCCCCGCCGCAGCGCAGGTAACGGCCGTGCCCCGGGCGCACGCGGGGCTCGAGGCTTCAGCCCCTGCCGAGGAGGGACCGGGGCTCTCGGCCGCGGCAGCTCCGGCAGAGCCCGTGCGCTGCCGCCCGCGGCAAAGAGAACCCCTGCGGGCCGGGCCGGGGCGGGGCGGGGCAGTGGCCGCGAACAGGAGCGAGCTGCGGGAGGTGCCCCGAGAGCCGGCTCTTTGTGGGGCAGGAAACGACGCGGAGGTTGCTCGCGTTCGGCTGCGCCCACGAAGGCTTCGCTGGAAGCAGCGGAGGAGCTCCGAGCAGGAGGGTGCGGGAAGCGGTGGGAAGCGGGGTGTGGAGCCGGCGCTCGCTGCTGAGCGTCGGGCGAGCAGGTTCTTCCCTTCGCTGCTAGGGCAGCGCAGCGGCTGAGGATGGAGCTGCCGGGTGTGGGGTGCCTTTAACGGCTTCTGAGTTTCCGAGCGTTGCCCGCGGGGGAGGGCTGGAGGGGACTCTGGGTCCTGAGGCTTGCGCTCAGGCTGCCTCCACAAAACAATGGATTTCCCTTTTCTCTCTCTCTCAGAAGCAAGGGTGGCTGCTGAAATCCAGGAGCTGCTTCCCAGCGCGTGGTTTTTCTAGCTCAGTGTTTTCCTTTGCTCACAGGGGGAATTGGGTTTAGCAGAGCTCAAGGAACCAGCACTTGTGGCAGCAGCGGGATGCTGCTGAAGGGCAGGCGGGAAGTCTCCTGGACATGAGCCCCTCCTGAGGCCTCTCTTCCTTCCTCCTCCCCTCACAACCTGTCTCGGCCTCCCTCTCAAGGGAATTCCTTAGCTCACAACACATTGGAATGTTTCCTCCTGCTCACGGGGGGTCTGATCCTGCTCCTGGCTTTCATCCACTGCCTGGTGGGCTCTGGGGCAGGATAAAGGTGAGGGGAAGAGCTGGCTGTTCCCATACCTGATTCCAGCCGGGAGAGCTCTTGGCTCTGACTGAACACAAAGGCAGAATGTAAACCCTCTCTGATCACAGGGGTTGGTGCAGCTCCTCTCAGGTTTAGGATCTCTTGCGAAGATTTCATTCAAGATTTCTCTGTGTGCTGTTGGTGTCTGTTTCCAGCAAGGACAGCAGAGGAGCAGGAGGTCTCAGTGATGAGGTTCAGTATCTGGGTCACTCACCATTGCCTCTGTGTGTTCTCTGGTGAGTTTTGATACTGGGAGAGGATGAGATAAAAGGAACATGTGCAGAAAGATAGAACCAGGGCTGAGCTGCCCTCGACAGAGGCCACTTGCTAAAGGGATTTGGAGGTGAGCTCTAGTTCCTGTGTGAGGACACCAGGCATAGGCAAACAAGGTGGCTGCTCTTTTCCTTTCCCTGTTGGCGTTTCTTGATACCAAAACCTGGGCAGAGCCTCCCCTCCTGTGCATCCTGAAGAACAGGTTGATGCTTTATGAGCCATGGTGCTTCGTTCAGGGACTTGTTTAAGTTCTAAAGCCAATACACATCATAGTCAAGTTCTGGTTTTCTCTAGCTGTGGCTTTTCTTCACTTGGTTGAGCTTGCACATCAGAAGTGGAGAGTTCCTTTCCCTGTATTGAATTTTCAGTGTGTGTGCTGGAAAGTGTTCTTCCAGGACTGAGTATTGGCTGTTCTACAAAACCTCATCTTCTGCCCGGCTGGAGACCACCAAAGGGAAGAGGAAGTCCTGTGGTGTGTCTTCAGGTGCCTGGTAACTCTGGCTTGGGCTGTGTAAGTTCTGGTGCCCCCGTTCCTCTGTCTGTAGCAAGAATCCGGGTCTTTCAGGGTGTTGTAGCTCAGTCAGCATCTCTGAGGAGTTTCATGGGCTTCACAGCAGTGTTTGGTCTCACAAGGAGCAAGTGACAGGACAAGAGGAAACAGCTTCAGGTTGCACCAGGGCAGGTTTAGACTGGAGATTAGGAGCAGTTTGTTCACTGAAGGGGTTAAGCCTGGAACAGGCTGCCCAGGGCAGTGGTGGAGTCACCGTCCCTGCAGGGGTTAAACGGATGTGTAGATGTGGCACCTGGGGACGGGGTTTAGTGGTGGCCTCGGCAGCCCTGGGTTAATGTTGGACGATCTCAAAGGTCCATATCCATGACTTGGCAGCTGATTCCTGTAACTGCCAGGAGCCAGGGTTGCGTTTTGGCAGCTGCAGATCCGGCACTTCCAAGTTGGAATCTTTGTGCAGGGCTGAAGCTGCTGGTGACTCGAGGCCAGGAACCTCGTGAGCCTTTGCTGAAGGGGCACGTCCCCACCTCAGACCATGTTCTGTTAGAAAACTGTTTCTAGGCTTTTCCCCTAGAGCTGCCTCTGGTTTAGTTTGTTCCTGCCGAGCGAGTTGTTGTCTGAGAGCATGGAATAGCTGATTTTATTGTTAGTGCCAACTTTGAGAGCTCTGTAATCTTCAGCTCTGGAGTGGAGAAGCAGGTGGGGCAGCCACAGCTCTGGTGTTGAGAAAGCATGGCAGAAAATCACAAGTCTTCGATAAGAAAAGCTCCCCGAGTCTGTGTCTCCCCAGTGGTGCCACATTTCTGTGCATTTGAGAGCAATGCTGTTAAATCCTGCTGGGTTGAGACCTGCCCTCCATGAATGGATAACCAGGACAGGGTGCTCTGTGTGGCTTCACATCTTAATGCTTGGAAGGTTTTGCCCTTGAATTGAGTCATTACAGATCTCCCTCCGAGTAATGGTCCCATGATCTCCAGGCTAAGATTAACCCTGGTTGGACTCTCTTCTGTGCTGGTGGTGTCCTTCAGCAGCAGCAGAGATCCTCCTCGTCCTCTTCCTCAGTGTTTTGATGCTCTTCTAGAACTGACCTAATCCCCGGATTCCTCCAGTTCCTGTGCCTCTACCTAAAGTCACTTTTCTCTCTGTCCCATAGCTCTGTAGTTGTGCCCAGGAATGGGGAATTCAAAGTGGGGAGGCCAGAGCGAGGCCGAGACCTGCAGCAGATGAGGCTTTGGCAGCACGTTGCAGTCCCTTCTGGAATTGCTTTGCCTGGTAAATCCTGGGCTCTCATTTGTTTCCCAGGACTGTTTTCCGCTGTGAGACACCCTGTGTCTGGTGCTGCTGCAGCTGCCGCATTGGATGCGCTGAGGTTGGTAAGAAGGCTCCCTGAACCCCCGATGGTTCCTTGTTGTCAGTGTGTGATGGGCAGGAGCTGCAGGCAAGCAGGGCTCACGTGCAGCACCATCTTCCCTCCTGCTCCTCTCCTGCCCTTACCCCAGAAGCGGGGGGAGGCCAACAAGAGAGAAGAACCTGAAAATGGGCCTCCCAGCCCTCTTCAGCCTTTCCTTTGGTGCCACGCACTTCTCCCCTCCTCAGTGCTTGAGCTCTCTCACCTCATGTCCATCAATGAGGACTGTGGGGATGAGTCCAGCTTTCCCAGAGTGCTGCCAGTGCCTGGTGTGGGGATGCAGGGCTGAGGGCCAGGCTGGGCAGCAGCAGCAACCCCTGTGTGTGTGTCCCTGTGTGTGTGTCACCAGTGTCACCAGTTCTCTCCCATCTCTCCCAGCAGCTCAGGATGTGGCGTCAGAGGCTGGTGAGGCTTCTCCGGCTGTGTGGCAGCTCCAGCCCTGCCTTGCTGTGGCCACCCAGTGACACCAGGCCCGTCCTCACTGCTGCCACTCGCTGCCACCACACGGTGCCAGAATCCCTCAAGTGTGCCTGGCAGTTACACCCCGACCACCTCGGTACGTGCCGGCTCCCGTGTCCCTGCTCCCAGCCAGTCCCTGGGAGTGATTTCAGTTCCCTGTGTTCTTCTGAAATGGGCTGTGCTAGAGGGGTGCACACTGGTCTCTGTGTTCCATGTTCCCTCTGGGAATTCCCAAAGGCAGGACTGACTCTTGTCCTGGGTTTGGAGGTGACTTGGCAACTGAGGCACAGGTTTCCCCAGGACGTGTTTGGTCTGGTCCAGCCTCTGTCTGCTGAGGCCAGTGAGATGTTGGTACTTGGGTCACTCAGAAGCAAGGGGAATTGCTTGTTCCTTTATCCAACACAGTGCCCCCAAGAAAGGATATTGTTGCTTTCCCATTGCAAAGTGACCTTGGATACTTGGATTCAAAGCTGAGTGGGACTAGAGCAGGAAGTGCTCTCCTCTTTTCTCTGCTGGCTCCCCCTTCTGTAGGGCTTTGAGCATTCCCAAGCTGTCCTGGAATGGAGCAAGGAGGAGAGGCTTTAACACTAAATGGATATCAAGGCCTTACCTCAATGTCTTGGTGGGGTTTGTAACCTTTGTGTAGCTTGGATGTTTGCTTGGTTTGACTCTTACCTGTATTACTGTACTGGGGTCTGCAGCTACGTTATGTACAGCTCTGAATTTACTACTTGAAGAGAAAGAGGTAATTATATGAGCAGCATGTTAGCTGTACTCCTTCCTGCTGCAGGGTGAGCTAGGTAAGGAGGGAGCCCATGGTGAGCTCAGTGACAGCCAGGCCTTCCATGAAGACACTGCGTAGTGTGACAAACCAGCTGTGCATCCCTTCAGTCAGTGGGGTCCTAACCCGTGGGCTCAGTTCTGGGTGATGGTTCCACCTCTTGGCACCAGTGCAGCTCTGAGCCCAGCCTCCTCTGCAGAACTCAGGTACGCCAACACGCTGATGCGGTTGGACTTCGTGTGGCTGCGGGACCACTGCCGCTCCGCCTCCTGCTACAATGCCAAGACCAACCAGCGCAGCCTGGACACAGCCAGCGTGGACCTGGCCATCAAACCTAAGGCCGTGCGAGTGGATGAGACCACGCTCTTCCTCACCTGTAGGTAGCAAAGTGCCTGTTCCATGGTTTCTGGGCTACCAGCCCTGCTTGAAGGGAGCCTCAGTGATGGATCCTGGTCTTACGTGTGCTGGGAGAGGGCAGCCTTGTCTCTAAATCAGTAACTGTTGGGAAGTGTCTGGCCCTAAGATCTGGCCCTAAGCAGATTTTAAACAGTTGCTGTTTCTATAACGTGTCTTGGTCTTAACTGTGTAGCTGTGTTTTCCTCCCCCTCCTCGCGAGCCCTTTTTGGGTAGAGATGTATCTTCAGTGTCTGGTGTTTCACTGGTTGGTTTGAAACCAGCAGCAATGCAGGTAGTGAACAGACTGGTCAAGAAATGGTTGGGTTCCTTTTCCCTACTGTTTGAGCTGGTATCCCTGGTCAGAACTCATGTTTTCTGTCCTTTGTTGCTCTCTCCCTTTTGTTGTAACTTACCCTTAGTTACGAGCTGGTTTTGTGCTCAACTTCCTCATGGAGTTCTGTCAGCAGAAACCAGAACCACTGAAGTTGAGGCCCTTGGCTCTGAATTTGACTCCTGGCAGCAGCAGTGATGCTTTCAGGACTTGTAGCCTGAACCAGACATTAGTGTGGGTGACATCGGGGTGCAAAGAGTCTGTCACCAGACAAATTAACAGGGTGAGGGCTGTCTGAGACTGGTGATTGTGCTGATCATGACCTGGGACTGTGGCATCCACTGGTGGTGACTGTGACTCTGGTCCCTTGCCTCAGGGCCGGACGGGCACGTGACGCGCTATGGGCTGGAGTGGCTGGTGAAGAACAGCTACGAGGGGCAGAAGCAGCAGGTGATGCACCCCCGCATCCTCTGGAATGCTGAAATCTACCGCCAGGCCCAGGTGCCCTCCGTGGACTGCCGGAGCTTCCTGGACACAGATGAGGGGCTGAAGGAATTCCTGCAGAACTTCCTGCTTTATGGCATCGCTTTCGTGGAGAACGTTGCGCCCACCAAAGAGGACACAGAAATCGTGGCAGAAAGGATCAGCTTGATCAGGTAACAGGGGCTGCCCTGCGAATGCCACTGACAGCTTTGTCAGGAGCTGTGAAGGGCAGGCTGCTCAGTTCGTTGGGAAGGTGCTGCTGCCTTGTCCCGTGTGTCCTGCCTGTTGTCTGGTTTGCAAAGCAAACGTCTGGGTCTTCCACAGCCTCTGGCCACTGCGCTTGAACCGAGCTGGAGTGTTGCACTGTGGGATCTGCCTCTTCCTAGGTGAGAGCCTGGACCATGAGGCTGTGGAGCTGCCTCGGGAGCGTGTGGTGACTTTTGTGACAGTGGGGCTATGCCCAGAGAGGAGGAACTGGAGGAAGTGGCCTGTCTGGGAAGAGCAGAGCTTTGCAAAGAGAGGCATTTCCTGTTGTGACTTGGAAGGTTAGGAGGGCAGCCCTGGCCCTGGGAGCCAGG